TGCACCTCACCCAGTTTGAGCTGGAGGGGCTCCGCTGCCTCGTGGACAAACTGGAGTCCCTCCCCCTGCACAAGAAGTGCGTTCCCACCGGCATCGAGGACGAGGACGCCCTCATCGCTGACGTCAAGGTACGTGGGCGCGAAGGAGTCGCGAGCGGACGCCGTTCCTTGGGGCTGCTGGGACCAGTGGAGGTGAAAATGCATTTCCCTGCTTGATTTTGACCTTGCCCTCATCCTGGGCAAGGCACTGGTGTGTCTGCGGGCTTGGATTTTGGGTCAGGGTTAGGAGGAGCTCCCTGTCGGCGTGGCCGAGGCTCATCTGGATCCCTCACGGGTGTCGGGGCAGGAGCGCTCGGTCCCGGTGTGGTTCATTTCCAGTTCTGGCTGTGGACTCCCTGGGCTGCTGCTCGCTGTGACAGCTGGAGCCTTTCCTTGCCCCGGGGGGGTTTGGCCTTGTTTCTCTGGGTTGTTTGCCTGGGACCTTAGGTTATGAGTCTTTTTTGTCTCTTTTTTGTCTTTTTTTTTTTTTTTGCTGTGCTTTACACCATGAGCTTTATCTGCAAAACCTGTTGTGCTGACTCCATGAACTTTGGTATTTTAGCCCTTTGAACACTGAAGTGAGTGTATCTTTGTCTTTGTCATTGTGTTTCTTTTCCAAGCACCATTTCCTGATTTATTTATTTTTTTTGTTTTAACTTGTGGTGCTTGACCAAAGGAGTTGGGAGTAGCTGCTCTTAGAGGGCTGCAATTCTGGTTCCCTGGGGCTTTTCTGAGCGTGCTGGTTCACCCTTGGGCTGGTGGTGTGTGTTTTGAAGGCCGAGCATTTGAGGTGACAACCATTTGGTTGGGGTTTTGAGACCTGTTTAAAGGACGTGCTGTGTTCTGGAGCTCATGACCCGCAACGGCCGTGTACCTTGGAGTGGTGGACGTGGTCCTTGGAGGTGCAGAAGTATCCTGAGCTGCAGGACTCTGTCCCTCAGGACCTGCAGCCTCTCAAGTGAAGCCCTTGCTGCCAGGTGTCCTCAAGGCTGAAGACGCTTGGGTGTCAGACTGTGGTGGCTGGAGAAAATGGGATGGATCTGTCAAGTTGCGGCAAACCTCTGCTTTCAAAACTCGCTTTTTCCTCAGAGGTGTTGGAATTGGTGGGTGTAGGTTGGCTTCTCGCACCTGAAAAAGAGTAAAACATTTCTAGATAAACCTTTTAACCGGTCTTGTCACTGAGAAGCCCGATGAGTGAAGGTCTAATTTTCAATATCAGTAGCTTGCGTGGAGAGCACCTTAGTATAATTGGTTTTTATTGTTGTTACAAGGCTGGAATGGCCGTCCATGCGTCTGTGCCTCAGGATGTGGGACACAGCTCCTGTTTCAGGCGTGTTTCCTCTGTGAGCTCTGGCCTAACTCCCCTCCTCCAACAGGCGTGTAACTCCCCTCCTCTAATAGCTTTTGTGTTCTTGCACAACCGTAGTGACCTCTCCGGGAACACACGGTCCTGCCTTCCCGCTCTCGTTCCGCCGCTCCCGCCTTGCCTCGTGGCTCTGGAGCGGGATCCCTCGTGCTGTGCCCCAGACCTGGATCCTTTCCCTCCCTCTGCTGTTTCTCTGAATGCTCTAAGGGCAGCCTGACCCATTTTCCCTTACCAGTGTCCTCCCAAAAAACCTCCCCGGGTTCAGTGGTGCCCCTCTACATGGTCTGGGTTGGGCTCATTGGAGAGATTGTTGGCAAAGAGAGGTCCCGTTGTCCTTTTTGTTGCTTCTGACCCCTCTTGGGCTAGGGAGGAGCTGGTTTATCCGGTGGAGACTTGAGATGTTTTTTCTGATGTAGACAAAACCTGCACCCACGGGGCGCTGAGTCCACGTTTGAGCTGTTCCCCTGCTGCAGTGCCGCCAAGCCCGGGCGCAAACAGATTCTCTCTGGGCTCTGCCTGGAAGCACTGGAGCACCAAGCTCGCCTAGAAGTGCAGATCCTGTCTCCAGGACCTCATCTCAAAAGCTTCTGGTGTGGCTTTACCCACCAACCCGTCCCTGTGTCCTGCTTGGGCCTCCCCATGATCAGAAACGCTCCTCTGCGCGCACACCTTAACTCTGCTCTGCCTGAAACACTCCCTGCAGGGAGAGAACGGGGCAACAGGACACGGGGAGGACTTGGTGAGGAACAGGGTCCCACCAGCGATGGGTGAGGAGCCCTCGAGTTGTGCCAAAAAGGTCCCGTGAGCCGGGGTGCGAGGTCTCTGACACTTCTAATGGGAGCCGCGGGGCTGGGTGTCCCCAGCGAGAGCCCGGGCCAGGGACCCCAGGGGGTGTCGCTGGTGGTGGTTTGGGTGGTGACACTTTGGTCTGTTCAGCATGACCCTGGTGGCTCCTTGGGCTCTCCAGGAGAGACCCAAGCTGAGGTTGTCTGCGGATGCATCGGCAACCGGAGAAATTGCTGTTCCAACCCGGCGACGCTTTGCAGAGGCTTGTTTTTATTTCAAGAATTTTTCTCCATTTTCGGTGTGAGAATCTGGAGCCCGGGGGTCTGGGGCGGGTTGGGGTGACATTGCTTTGGCTCTGTCCCCCT